AATACTATGGCGAGAGAGTCGATACTGGAGGAAGACTTGGCGAAGAATATAAGCCTGAGTCTGCACAATTTCTTCTGTTTGAACCGAAAGTCGAGGGTGAGGAGTTTGTCCAACCAATCAAAGAGATTGCAGGAGCAAAGGGAATGGATGCGGTCCTATGAACAGTTGAAAGCCTGGGAAGAGATCGTGATTGGCTCCGATGATGAAGAGGCACTGTTGAAACAGATTGCGGTGTCAATTACGTCTGGGTCTGGTACCTCGAAGGCGAAGAACGCGAGATGAGCAGGTGGCTCAATGGGAAATTCTAGAGTCTTGGGTCTTGAGAGGGAAGGAAATGGGCTCGAGGGTGAACTTGGATGAAATCTGGGTTCACGAAAAAAAATTTTTAACAAATGAGATATTGTTATTAATGCTGCATGATAATTTCCTGATTGAATAGGACAAAAGAAATTCTAAATGACTAGCTTAAAAAGCAAAAATTCAATGGTGCAGACGTGTGCAGATTTTGATTGCTGTTCAGCGATAGTAAGAAAATTTTATATGGTTGTGAATTTTGGGGTGTAGATAAACTTAAGTCTGCTGCAAACTTCTGTAAATGACCACTGGCACTGTTCTTTGAGCAACACTCGGTTTTCTGGGGATTCACTGACAGACAACAGCACGCGATGAGGACATCGATCTTGAGCCCGGGGAGTATGTGCCAGTCAGTCATATCTGGAAGTTTGACCTTGAGGAATACAAAATACGTAGTTTTGGGATGAAGTTTAATTTTTCAAAAATTCGAATTGAGCCTGTCATGCTCAACTTTCTCGCGACAACTGAAAACATCACATGAAGAATCTTCATCTTTGACCCCTTGTATCCAAAGTTTTAGGATACAAGGGGTCAAAGAGGACCCTGAGAAAACAAAAGGAGAAAACCTTGTCCCAACAAATGACGAAGTAAACGAAATACTAGACATAATTGGAGTGAAGCCGAAAATAATAGAACTAAAACGACTGGGAAAATTTGATCGTAATCGAATGAAGCCAAGAACACTGCTGGTAACTGTACCTAGCGAACATGAAGCACGACTAGTACTAGCAAAAAGCCGAGAAAAGCGAGAACAATTGGTCGAAAAAGAGGTCTACCTGCTACCAGCATTGACCAAAGAGAGTGCAATTAAAGAGAACGAAATCCTTAAGAAACGAAGACAACTACTAGATGAAGGCGTTCCTCGCGAAAAGCTGAAAATAAGGAATCTAGAATTGTTCAATGATGGTGTGAAAGTAACTATTGACCCTGAAGTTCAGGAACCCCAGCATTGACTAGGATTCCTCAACATTCTGCAACTAAATACTAGAAGCCTAATCAACATAGAGAGAAGAACTAAGCTAGCAAATGCAATTGCAGTTGGAAATTTTAATGTCATATGCTTAAGCGAAACTTGGCTTAACGAGAATGTTCAATCATCAGAGCTTTTTCTAAGTGAATATAACATCTATAGATCTGATAGAGCTATTGTGAGTGGTAAAAACTGTCACGGAGGCAGCCTAATAGCTGTCAAGAATAGTCTAATTACCGAGGACTTATCCACCAAACATGACCTTCCTGATTCATGTGTGCTATGTAGTATAAAACTTCATCAAACTGAAATGATAATTGGCTCATTCTACAATCCGCCAAAAAACAGTAATTACAGATACAAAGTGCATGAATTTGAACAACTGATCAAAGCCATTCCTAAAAACAAACCGCTTCTCTTATGTGGGGATTTAAATTTCCCAGAAACAAACTGGAACACCCTCACCAGTACTGACGAGGAAGAAAACCAAATACTGCAAATTTTTGAAAATGGACTCTTTAGGCAGGCGATAGATTTCCCAACATGTGTGAAGAACATACTAGACGTAGCCTTTTATCGGAATTGCTATACAAGTGCCGAACAAGATTTTAACGTTTCCAAGATTTATGACTGCTCAGATCACAATGCCATAATGTTGTCTATTGAATGCACGGTATCAGAGCCGAAACCATACTTGGAAAATTTTAGAAGTTTTGGAAATGCCGATTTTGAAGGAATAAACAATTTTATAAACGAGAACTCATTTGAACCAGTATGCCACACAAACATTAACAAAATGCATGAGGAGTACACCCAATATTTGGATGAAATCATTAAGAGTTTTGTGCCTCTCAGAACAAGACATAGGAAATCACTTCCACCTTGGATAACAAGTAGCACTTCAAATTTGATCAAAAAGTTACAAACAAAACGGCAATCATGTATACTCAAACCGACCAACTACAGAAGACAACAAGTTAAACTGTTTGAAAATTTAGTAACTGAATCATCGGAATTGGACAGGAAAAACTACCAAGAGGAATTGTTTAGAACACGGAACACTAATGTAATTTTTAAACACCTAAAGAACTTGAATAAACATACAAGTCTTCCTAAGTTACTCATAAAAGATGAAGTTGAAAGCACAAATCCAAACGAACAAGTCAACATGCTAAAGGACTTCTTTCATTCAGTTTTTAATCCTAAAGAAAGTTTTAGTATTAGAGATATTCAATTTGAAAATCCCTTGTTAACGAATTTTGATATATCGAAAAAGACAGTAAGTGAGATTTTATCAACTCTGGACGTAACAAAGTCACGCGGCCCAAATGGGTTGCCACCTAGCTTTTTTCAGAAAACGAACCGCAATATATGCAAATCGATGAACAAACTTTTGAGAAATGTAAAACGCCTACGAAAAATACCTGATTCATGGAAAACAGCTGCAGTTACTCCTGTTCACAAAAAAGGTGACCGAAAAATGGTGAACAACTATCGACCAGTATCGCTATTAAATATTGACAGCAAAGTCCTTGAAAAATGTATATACAAAGACCTGTACCCTTACTTTGCCTGGTATTTGACGAAACATCAACACGGTTTTACTAAAGGTAGATCAGTTTTGACAAACATGCTCTCTTTCCTGAAAGAAACATATGAAGCGCTTGACAATGACTCAAACGCAGAAATTGTAGCATTCTACACTGACTTTGCAAAAGAGATCAAAATGCGGAACTTTATCAAAGGACTTAAGAAAGTTGCACTTATAGGAATAGGAGGCTGCATGTTAGAGGTACTCTATGACTATTTGAAAAACAGGAAACAGTTTGTACGAGTAGACAATATCAGCTCAAAAGTTTTAGAAGTCACTAGTGGTGTTCCCCAAGGATCACTTTTAGGACCACTGCTCTTTTGCATTTTTATTAACGACCTACCTGAAGTACTCAAATTCTCTGAACCATATATTTTTGCGGATGATCTTAAACTACTTTCCATCAAAAAAACATCAATTGAAATTCAAGAAGATCTGGACAAAATTCAGCAGTGGGTAACTGAAAACAAAATGGAATTAGCACTAGATAAATGTGCAAAAGTAAGTTTTAGGGGCGGAGACGCTAACTCTATGCTTTTTGGTGTAGTGCTTGGAACTTCGATGGTTGTGAAAGATCTGGGAATTTTTGTGTCGGGCGATTTAAGTTGGAAGGTACACATTGAAACAAGATTAAAGAAGGCAAACCAAGTACTGTACCTCCTGAGAAGAAACCTATCAGCAAAGATAAATACGTTTGTAAAGTTAGGCCTGTATAAGTCACTAATACTCCCAGTGTTATTATACGGACTCTCATGTACACATATATCGAGGGGGGATCAATTGCAGTTGGAGCGATTTCAAAAGAAAGTAATCCGTTGGATCACTGGAAATAAAACGGGAGTGTACATCAACGAACTACGCTTGCTAAACATTTTACCCCTGCCCATGTTCATCCAGCTAAATAACATCTTACTTCTTGCCAGTCTTGATTCTAATGAACGAAATGAAATAGTGTTAAACAGGCGAACCATACGGGCTAGAAATACAGAAATTTTTGAGATGCGAAAAGTGAGAACGGAAAAAGCGAGAAACGAATTTGTTTTCAGAACCAGTAGGATTGTAAATCGATTAGAACCATATATTCATTTTGATAAACGAATCGGCCTCAAGACGAGAATTTTAAACACGATGTTGTTAAGTATGTTGAGATAAAGCGAGTTTTAGGTTGATACATCTGAAATGGATCAAAGTTCCACTGTCCAATAAAAAGAAACTTGACGGATTGTTCCGACCCTTTTTTTGTATGTTGAGATAAGGCGAGTTTTAGGTTGATCCATCTGAAATGGATCAAAGTTCCACTGTCCAATAAAAAGTAACTTGACGGATTGTTCCGACCCTTTTTTTTAACGGCGTTCGTGTATTTTGAGACCTAAGTATGGGGACGTTCTTATTTTCTAGAGTGCGGGGTATTTTGGTAGTGGCCTTTAAGCTGTAACGGGTTCTAGTCTCATGTCGCAAGTGAACCGAATTGGCTCCGACCGTTTTGAGGTAGAAAAGCACAAGAGATAGTGTTACTGACTCCTGAGCCAATGATTATAGGGCCTATTTTTCTTAAGCCTCATATGTGACCGAAGTAGGCGACTGTTACACGTTCCAATAACGTCGCTAATCCGTTAAAACCAGGTTAATTGTGAAATCAATCTTCCAGGTTTGTTTCATAACCTAGCTTTGTTTTCCGTCGGTTTGTATTCCGGGCGATATAAATGACAAAAATGCATATCATCAATAAAAATCCGTTGATGACATGCATTTTCGGTCATTCTGGTCGAATGTCAAAGTGTGGCAGCCTGTGGAGAGACCAGATGGAATAAATGTAAATTATTTGGCTTGCTCATATACGCTACATGATTAAGGACTGTGCGTTTTAAAAAATTTTTTCTAAGGTTCCTCTTTATTGTTTATGTAGAGCTCATTTTAAATCTTGTTTTTTAATTACACTTGTCCAGTATTTTTTTACACTTGTACTATCATATCAACCTTTCAATTGCATAACACGTTTGTTGAATTGAAAACATTTTCATGAATTAAATTTTAAAAGTCAAGGTACAACGCCAGCTATCATTAAGTGCAATGTTTTTCAGAGTATTCATGCTTGTTAAAAAGTTATACACTGAATGAGTACATATCAGCCCATCAACGAAGAATCAGAAGAAGACTTCAGCAGCTCATTTTTCTCGATGTCAAATGCAGAAATGTTATCACAGTCGGCTAATTGCGCATCGAAACACCGATACCCTCACTCGATTGTTTGGACACCACTTCCATTGATCTCATGGTTTTTACCGTTCATTGGTCATATGGGCATATGCCAAGAAAGTGGTATAATTCGTGACTTTCAGGTAATTGTTATTTGAGACATTCATATTCAAATTGAACTAGGAAATTGGCTGGGCACAGAAGTTTTTGGCTACTTAAATTATTTTAAGTGGTTTGAGGGAGTGCGAAACATCATTTTGGTTATCCAACGTTGATTGAAAAAATGAGTGTTGAAGCCTAAAAAGACATCTCAGCTTTCTACTTGAACTAAATCTACGATTGAACTGATTTACTTATTTAAAACCGCATTTCTACAAAAATCAATTGATGTGCCAGTCGGTCATATTTGGAAGTTTGACCTTGAGAAGAGCAGAAAATACTTGATTTTGGAGAGAAATTTTATTTTTCAAAAATTCGAATGGAACATGTCATGCACGATTTTCTCGCGACAACTGAAAATCAGAAAAAGAAATCAGAACAATTTTAGAGCAATCGCGGGAAAGTTAGAAAGTAAAAACGAGTGGGAAATTGCTATTCGCAATTTCCGTCTATATATAATCGAGAGTAGAGCTGTCCTACTTGAAATAGAAGACAGAGTATCCCCGAGAGAGCGATTACTAAAGTTGGACCAGAGTGAACCTTCAGCGGAAAGGCGGACAACTAGAGTGTCCCAACGGTCCAAGAGAACTCAAATTCTAGAGCATGAACTTATCCTTGCTGTCTAAACTATAAAACATTAAACTTCTCTTAGTTATTTATTTCTTGAGTTAGTTACTGACTGGATTATTTCCCAATTCTTGAGCGTGCTGCTATGTGAGTACAAATTTAATTTCTAGAGTGTGTTTTATGATTGTTATGTTGAGATAAGGCGAGTTTTAGGTTGATCCATCTGAAATGGATCAAAGTCACACTGTCTAATAAAAAGTAACCTAACGGATTGTTCCAACCCGGTTTTTAACGGCGTTCATGTATTTTGGGTATCTAGAGACCTAAGTATGGGGACGTTTCTAATTCTAGAGTGGGGGGATATTTTAGTAGTAGCCTTTAAGCTGTAACGGGTCGTAGTCTCATGTCATAAGCGAACCGAACTGGCTCCGACCGTTCTTGAGGTGGGAAAACACAAGAGATAGTGTCCCTGACCCTTGAGCCAGTGGTTATAGGGCCTATTTTTCTTAAGCCTCATGTGTGACTGCAGTAGACGAATGTTACATAGTGTTTTTATGGCGCTCCTGGGTGTTTACGACATCAAGACTACGGAGTCGAACCCACTTGAGACAGCTTCGGGCTGAATGCCCATTCTAGAGTACCGGCGGTACGGTTCGACAGGAACGTGCAAACCTTCCGGTTGTACCGTGATAGCTTTTTAAGAAAACTCGAGAAAATTTCCTGGTGCGCTCTCCGAACGAGGCTTAGCTAACCGAGTATAGGGGGGCAACTAGGGGGACAAAAACACGAGCAAAAAGACAAAAAGCAAAACAAAAACCAAAAAAGAATAGAAATAGGAACAAAAACCATAAAACGAAAAAAGACAGTGACTTTGACACCGGATTAGTTGGATCAAACCTTTATATTAATTAAATAGTATACCCATACTGTTTTACAAGTTCGATCGTTTCGATCAACCTAGCAATTTAAACCAGTAAACTGAATAAAGTGCCCAAAGTGGGGCGTTGTCAAGGGTTTTCAGATAGCTTGGAACTTAGCTGGACCAATAGGAGACTTGACTGGAAGAGGTGACCAGCCGAGTGGGAAAGTGGTTCAGGGACACTGAGCTGAACCAATAGGAGACTTGACTGGAAGAGGTGACCAGCCGAGTGGGAGAGTGGTTCAGGGACACTTGGCTGAACCAATAGGAGACTGGACTGGAACAGGTGACCAGTCGAGTGGGAAAGCAGCCAAGAAGGATTTGGCAATTCTCGAGTTCTCAAGTTGGGCAGAACGGGTATCGTTAGAATCCACATTACATTATAGGAGATAAGTGTAAAATTGGATAAGCGAAATCCCCCAGTTTTGAGGAACGTTTTTACTTGAGCAGGCCTGGAAACAGGTCTACGGTTTTCTCTTGAGAGGTTTAGCACCCGGCGCTTAAAGTAATTTTTAGGCTTAAGAAGGGGGGCTAGAAAGGGGGGAGGTTAGAAGGGGGGCTGGTTAAGTTAGAGGTTGGCGGTTGTAAATTGTAAAAAGGGGGAAATTGGAGTAACTAATTAGTCGACATCGTTGACTTAGTTACATTAGAAATTAACACGCGTTGGTAATATTAGGTGGAGATCCAAAATTCAACTCGAGTTAAAACTGGTACGCTGGTTGGTTTGGTAGGGGGGACCGGATATAGATAGCTTTTGTGATACCCCATAAGATCACTAGTGGGGGGAGGAAAACGCGTGGCAATTAGGTACCAGACATTTTTTTAGACGAAAGGTAGACATTGGTCACCTTTGAATTTCAGGTGGGCTCATTTTTTCTGTTTTTATTATTTTTCTTACTTAGATTTTTGTTGCATTTTAGTGAGGATTTGTGTTTGGTTTTATACGAACAGGTGATCACAAGATACCTGCGCACCTACATTGAAATAGAAACAACCAAAAAGAAGAGGGGGATCAGCATTTGGCTTTTAAGAGAGGGTTTTTGGGAAAATTTTACTAGAGCTTGAGTGGTGGTACAAGGTACGGTGGTTCAAGAAGACCCTAAAACGAGGAAGACACTCCGTGACGGGTATTGGGACAAGACCGAAGAAATCTTAAAACAGAGCAGTCTTGGGACAGTGGTCTTGGGACAGGGTCTTGGGACAGTGGTCTTGGGACAGGGTCTTGGGACAGTGGTCTTGGGACAGTGGTCTTGGGACAGGGTCTTGGGACAGTGGTCTTGGGACAGTGGTCTTGGGACAGTGGTCTTGGGACAGTGGTCTTGGGACAGGGTCTTGGGACAGTGGTCTTGGGACAGTGGTCTTGGGACAGTGGTCTTGGGACAGTGGTCTTGGGACAGGGTCTTGGGACAGGGTCGTGGGACAGTGGTCTTGGGACAGGGTCTTGGGACAGTGGTCTTGGGACAGTGGTCTTGGGACAGGGTCTTGGGACAGGGTCTTGGGACAGGGTCTTGGGACAGTGGTCTTGGGACAGTGGTCTTGGGACAGTGGTCCTGGGACAGTCTTGGGACAGTGGTCTCGGGACACTAGTCTTGGGACACTAGTCTTGGGACACCAGCCTTGGGACACTGGTCTTGGGACACTGCCCTTGGGGCACTAGTCTTGGGATACCAGCCTTGGGACACTGGTCTTGGGACACTGCCCTTGGGACACTAGTCTTGGGACAGTAGTCTTGGGACACTAGCCTTGGGACACTAGTCTTGGGACAGTAGTCTTGGGACACTAGCCTTGGGACACTAGTCTTGGGACAGTAGTCTTGGGACACTGGTCTTGGGACACTGCCCTTGGGACAGTAGTCTTGGGACACTAGCCTTGGGACACTAGCCTTGGGACAGTAGTCTTGGGACACTAGTCTTGGAACAGTGGTCTTGGTACAAGGGTCTTAGGACACTAGCGGAGAGTACTGTGATAGTGACGAATAGTCTTGGGACGGTATAGAAATTGAAGTCAAATTACAACAAGTGCGTTTTAAGACAGAACAAGACAAATCGAAATAGGTAGGGTTAAGACCAAATTAAGGAAAATTTTTCGGAGGTTTTAGAAAGAGAATTGGATAAGGTTTTTAACACGTTGTACAGAATTTGTTACCACAAAAAATATTTTTTTTACCCTTAGAATAGAATCGTGTATATAATAAAATTGTAAATAAAAGCAGTTGTAAATAGAAATAATGAGGCGGAGTAGGGTACCGGTGCTCGAAAAAAGGTCAAGTGGATCAAACACGAAATATAATTCATCGCTGCGCGAAACGACATCAACGGGCCCAAAGATAACGAAGACGAACTTTTCAGTTAACATGGTCAACACAAGGAGTACAGCGGAGTACAGGGCAAGAGAGGACACGGAAGGGGAGCGAGTAGAACCCACCATCGAGATTGATCTAGAGACACCCGATCAAAGTGTGGATGAAACAAGGAAGATGGCGACAGAGTCAACTCCAATGCCCAATGCAGAGGAACCGAACCAGAAACCCATAGAGTTCTCACCGATAGATGACGCGGAAGATGCAATAGGCAACACCGAAGAAACGGTGAAAGAAGACTCTCAAGTAAAGAGGACATCTTTTACGGAAAAATTGGGAATAATGTTCGGAATAAAAACAAAAGAAAACGTGACTGAAGAACCAAAAGCAGAAAGAGCACGAACATTTGGGACAGTGAGCACGAAGACCTCAGAAGCCAATCCAAGAGAGGAACGAACTAAAGCAGAGGCTACGGCCGAAGAGAGACCGACAGCTGACCATGAAGAGACTACCATTGAGCTGGGTGACTTGTTGGCGAAATTAAATCAGATTGACAAAAGACTTAAGCACAGTGAAGAAGACAGAGAGGTGATAAAGAAGGAGATAAGATACAACAAGCACGAGTATCTAGACAGTTATTTTAACCTGGCTAAGGCAACAGAGGAGAGACTCAAGGAGATGTCAGACAAGGTAGAAGCCACCAATGAAGAACGAGAAAAGAACATCAAAACAGACATGCAACAGTTGAAGAACCGATATGATGATGTCAACAGCCAATTAGGGAGCCTGGAAAGGAGAATGGACACAATGAGCAAGAGTCAAGCCGAGAGTTCGTGTGCAATACAGGCGAAGTTGGATGCAATCTTGAGAGGTTCTACTCCACAAGAAAGACCGGCAGCGGATCGTACGCAAAGCACCAGAGTTGACTTTGTAGAACCACAAAGGAACAAACGGCAATCGACACCGTTGCCCTTAACCAGGGATGCGATAAGCATAGCACCAACAACTGCGAAAACAATAATGAAGAATGGAACGTCGAATACAACGGCTGCTCCGGGAGATTCAACAGCTAACAGCAACACAAGACCAGATGCTATGACATGGGCCAGCACTTGGGAGATGATGAACAGGACTCTAGAGGCCTTCGCCACGAGGAACACTGACTCGAGCGACAGGAGAGAGGGAAAATCAAGAAAGAC